ATATATATATATATCTGAATATACAAAATAGGATAGATATACAGATACTTTCTCTTAGTTCAGTGAGAAGATCTGTACTAATAGTGCTTAGATAAGATATGTGTGCAACTTGTACTATGAATAACCACTACAAAGACAACAATATGCAATGTATTAATTATTGTAACTGTCCTACTCACTTGTTTTGAAACTGCCTCATTGCTATTTCTTTCTCAACAAAATTAATTTAAAAAATAAATACATAAAAAAAAAAGTTTTGGGACAGGCACTAAGTTACGCAGGCAGAGCTCAAACTCATGTGCCCTCTGTACACAACAGTGCCCAGACCCGCCTTTTCTTGTTGCACTTGGAATCCAGCAACCACCATGTAATTGACCCTAATCCATCCTGCTGGAGGACAAGGAGCCAGATGGAAGAGAATCAAGGGGTTGTATCCAACTGCCAGTTCTGGATTATATGAGTGAGGCTATGCTAGATTATCTAGCCACCACCTAACTCACCAGTGGATTGCAGATCCAGTGGGAGCCCAGCACTGATCACTGAGCTGTTTAACACAGAATTGTGGACTACACTGAAGATACTGTACAACAGAATTTTGAACATAGTAGAACAATTTTTTTTTAAGCCACTGTGGTTTGGTGTAAGTCATTTTAACTTAAAACTAACTGAGACAGAGATTCAGAACAATAATGCCTTGGAGCTAAATAATCTGGGTTTCAGTGATAGCCTGGCTACTTTCTAACTATGTGGCCCGAGGCAAGCTACTCCATCTCTCTGAGTTTTGGTATACTAACTCGGAAAATGGGGGTAATGCCAGTGCCTGTTTCCTGGACTTACATGGATTCAGTAAGACAGCCCATGTCAGTCATTAGCTCATATGCAGCTTGGCTTTACATAAAGGCAGTTACTGTTACCACTACTATATTGTTTAGATGAGTAAACTAAAGGCGAAAAACTAAAGTCTGAGTAACTTTCTTCAAAGTCTCATAACCACAAAATGACTGCATGTACGACCCAGACTGTTTTTTTGTTTTTTTGTTTTGTTTTTTTTTTTTGTAGCCCAGGCTGGCTTCAAACTCGTGATGGTCCTCTTGCCTCAGCCTCCCAAATTTGTTGGGATTACAGGGATGCACCATAATGCCTGGCAGTATTGCCTTCCAAATCCACTATTTTTCTCTCAATTTTCCTCTTTTAAAGAAAATTTATCATTCAGCAATTAAAATTAGGCACGTCTATTTTTTCTAATTTGTGAGTTTTTAACATCAAACTATTTTTCATCATTTGCTCCTGCTCATCTGTGTTCTTGACCAACTCTTCATTTCTGATAAATTTTAGAGGCAGCAGCGATGGCGGCGGGGGCGGTGCAGCAGAGAAGCAGAAATAGGGGGAGGGAAAGCATTTATTAACTCCAAACACATGGAGAGGACCAAAGGCAGGGAGATGGGCGGATCCTCTGACCACAGACAGGGAGCCTGAGACTGTATGGTCTTTTACCAGGGGCGGAGCTTAAGGGGCGGGTTTAGTGACGTATAAGGAGCTGATTGGAGGCTCCCTTGTGTGGGCGGGAGACTTCAAAGAAGTTGTACCCAGGGCTGAAGTGGGCAAGGAGGAGGAAGCGGTGACTGGGAAGATAAGCTGTTGCTTCAAAGGCTTCAGCCATATTACAGGACCACCATAATAACTCAGCAATTCATACTAGGGCCATAACCTATCAATTTCTCCTCTTAAAACACTGCATGCCGCCTATGAGGCAGTGAAGTGTTTTAAACACAGCCAGTAGACCTTCATCTGCAGCTGTCTACATGCTTGTTACATGCAGTTGTGGTCATAGCAATTTTCTTAAGTCATCTTCTATGATAAGATTTTGAAAAACATTTGTTCAACCACCTTTGTACATATTCAAAAGACAAACTTTGTTGTACCTTAAAGAACCCAGCAGAGGGCCCACAGGCTGTGCTGTGACCCTGTCCCCCTTCTCTCAGTTTTCTTACTCATCCCTTTCCCTGGAGCTCTGCAGTTACCACCAACTTCTCTTTCTGTCTCCCCCTGCAGTCCCTTCTCCTGTTCTCTAGTCCTTCTCCAGCCATGTACCTTTGCTCTTGTTCTGCACATACACACGGCTTCCCTGAGGCTAGTTCCATGCTAGCTAAGGGGCTGCTGGGTATTGGCACAAAAGACCTTCTTGGGCCTTCCACATCCCAAACCGAAAGTGCAGGTATTGGGGTAACCGGCCCACTAGGCCTTCCAGAAGTGACCCTTTCTGAACCCAATAAAGGCCTGGCAGGTGCGTACCATTAGTGAGCAGCAGATGGCAGAGTCACCTTTCCTTTGTCAGCTGCAGAAGCGCTGCTCCTGCTCTTCCTCCTATGAAGAATAGCAGTGAAGACAGGACTGTTGTTGGTGCTGTTTCTTTTCTTTCTTTCTTTTTTCTTTCTTCCCCCTAGTGCTAGGGACTGAACCCAGGCCTTTTGCTCTGAGCTATATCTCCCAGCCCTTTTAAATTTTGTGACAGTATCTTGCTAACTCACTTAGCTGCCCAGACTAGCCTTTAACATGCCATACTCCTGCCTCAGCCTTCTGTGTAGCTTGGATTATAGGCTGTACCATCATGCTCAGCTATATCAAGCTTTTCAAAAGTCTGATTTTTAAAAAATGTATTTTGGTACAGGGTCTACAGGGTCTCACTACACAAGTTGGACTAGTAGGGATCCTCCTGTTTTCAGCCTCCCCAGCACTGGGATTACAGGCACGAGCCATCATGTCCAGTCTCAGTCATTGTCTCGGCATGTCCTGGGGGCAGGGCTGGCAGGTCACAGGAATTGAATTTCAGTCCTTGCACCTGCCTAAGCAGGTAAAGTCTACTTTTTAAACATTTTTCTTTTTTTGGCAGAACTGGGCATTGAACTCAGGCCCTTGTGCTTGCCAGGCAAGCGGTTATTCTACTGAGCTATCTCCTGAACCCCTAAATGGCTTTTTTTGTGTGTGACCATTTTTTATTATCTTTAAAAAAACCCAAAACCCTAACCTGTGGCGAAGGCCGGGGCTCAGTGGTAGAGCAGTAGCCTAGCATGAGCAACGCCTGGGATGCCCAGCGTGTGAAATGGCTGAGCATGTGCAACCCCCAGTGATACATACAACAAACAACAACTTAAATATCTGGCTGCCACCTTCTGTCAAGCCATGTACTTTATCACATACCAAAGTCCTGATCACTCCTTATGTTCTCCCCAACGCTGAGCCCAAACTCCTTCGTTACTAATCTAGGAGTTTGTGCTATTATTTTTCTTAAATGTTTTTGTTATAAGTGGAGTATTTCTTCAACAAAAATGTAAGACCTAGACGGAGGAGACCATTAAATTTCATTTCTCGGTGAAAAAGTGAGCACAGTGTATCTTTGTTCCAAGAACAACACAACATGCTGTTATGGAAGTAAAGCACAATAAGAACCATGGAAATACAGAAAAGATGTAAGATGAAAAACAACAAAATGGAGAAAAAGGCCAAAATTTCAACAGAACTTGTTCCAAAAAATACAAGTGTTTCTGCTGTACATTATAATCAAGAAGGAATAAATTATAAGTGACTAAAATAGCTGGTATTAAGTGTGGTGTCGCATGCCTGTAATCCAGCACATGGGAGGCTGAGGCAGAAGGACCATGAATTTAAGGCCAGCCTGGGCTACATAATGATACTCCTGTTTGAAAACCAAACAAACAGATAAATAACCCAGAAGTCAACTCTCTCTGATTTGAATGCAAAATATATTTATGAAGATGAGTTTTCTGTAGCTCAGGGAGTCTCCAGAAAACCTGGAGACATACACTCAGAAACTGGACAGAAAATGAAAACAGATATTTACACAGACGTTTCTAGGTGCCTACCCACAGTAGCATTATTCATAACAGGCAACATGTATAAATGATGCAAATGTCTATCAACAGTGAAATGAATAAAGAAAATGTTTAATCAGTAAACACAATGAAGTGCTACAGAACTGTAAAAAGGAATGGAGTACTGGTAGATGCCACAGAACAGCATGGACCTTGCATACCTTCTGAATGATTTTATTTTATTTTTTTTGTTGGGGGGTGGCTGGCTCAGGCTGCCTTAAGGGCGGGCAGGCCTAGTAAGGCATGGGGAGCTGCCTTACCCAGGCTGTCCCCTGCGCCTGATAGGGTTTGCTCAGTCAACTGAGCTAACCCGCAAGCTTCCCTAAACCTTCTAAATGAAATAAACCAATAACAATGACTGCATGCTGTATGATCCCATTCATGTGAAAGAACAGATGAGAGAAATCTAGGCAGAAAGTAGACTAGTATTCTTTTCAGAGCTGATGAGAGATGGGAGGAGGTGTCAAGGATGCTAGCTGAAGGGTACTGATGGGGTTTCTTTTTGAGGTCTAAAATTGTGATAATTTCTGTGAAAATCAAATTATATACTGTCAACTGGCAAATCATATGATATGTAAATTATATTTTAATAAAGTTTTTAAAGTGGCAGAAACAAAAGAAACTAAGGCAAGTACAATGTTAGCCCAAATCCTATAGAAACAATTCAATAAAGACACCAGGGCCACTTCTATTCTGCCTAGCACACTGTACTCACAGGTCATTATTTGCTCTGCTGGCATTGCTGTTCCCAATTGTAGATGTTACTGTCACTTGCCCAACCACTGCCAAAATGAACTCCACTTTTAAAATTCATTTAATTATTTTATTTTGCAGTGCTGAGAATTGAATCCACAACCTCACGCATACTAGATAAATAATCTATCCCAGGCCACCCCAACGCCCCCACCTCTCTGCAATAAACATTCCTTCTTACTTTCTTCCGTGTGTGTGTGTGTGTGTGTGTGTGTGTGTGTTCCTTTGGACAGGGTCTCACTAAATTGCCCAGGTGGGACTCAGATTTGCAATCCTCTTGTCTCTGCCTTCAGTGGTGAAATTACAGGCAAGGCCTGCTGCAAGAGTCCATGGATCTAGAAACAAAATATAGACTCTGTCCTCAAGTAGTTCACAGCTGAGCAGGGGGAAATCGAGTGTGGTGGGTCCTTTGCTAAAAACACAAAAAGGACACTGACACATTTTTGTTGGAGGACAGGGCTAGAAATTCTTTACAGAGATGTCTTTACAAAGGGTCTTAAAATGAGGGTTGGTGTCTTGCTAAGCAAAAGGAAGAAAATCAGGGTGTGAAACAGCAAAGTGTGTTGGAAAAAACTATGGACAACATATATGTTTGGGGTGCAACACAAGCCACAGCAAGAGAAGATCAGAGAGGCCATCAGGCTGGATCAAGAAGAGCCTTGGAACTCAGACCAAATGGTCTGGACTTCCTTCTACCTCCTTTTCCTTCCTTCGTTTCTTTCCTTTCTCTTACCCTTCTTCATTCTTTCCTTTCTTCTTTTTTTGCTTTTAATTAATTTTACCCTTACGCTTTTAAAGGTATACTCAATCACTTGAAAGTGATAGGGTTATTTTCTAAGGCTTATACAAATTCAAATTTTGTGTTTTATGGAACAAATGGGCTTTTTCCTCTGTTTTTATTCTGAGGTAGAGTTTTAGCATGTAGTTCATGCTGGCTTTGAACTTACTATGCAGCCCAGATTGGCCTCAGACTCGCAGTGGCCCTCCTGCCTCAGCCTCCCAAGTACTGAGTTTACAGACATGGGCCACCACACCGGGCTCTCAAGCTTCTTCCCTTTTTGAAAGTTATTCTCCAGTTGCAAAATTTCTTTCCATGTTTTCACCCTGCATTCCTGTATTCAAATTTGGCTGCCCCAGTAAGACAGAAAGTGTGAGAACTCTTCATTCATATCTGCAGTGGCAAGCTTACCCTCTTTTCAATAGAGTTCTTAAAGGGCATCCTGTTTCCCAAATATAGTTTTGATGCTGCATAGAGAATAGCCTGGAAGAGAGTATGAGGAGATTAGTTGTTTAATGGGATGCTGACACTGTGTAGATGTTAGATTACAGAGGAGGGCTTGAAGAAAGATAGTAGCAGTAGTGACGAAAAGGGACAGGAATGAGTATGACAGGTAATGAGGCATAGGAAGATTTTAGGGCACCTTCCCTAGTTGTAATTGAGAGCAGGATGTCTCATGTGCTATGTCCTTACTATTTGTTGGTATAGAAATAGTTCCCACTTGAGAGGGGCTCTACCTAGAGAGAAAGACAGGCATCTAAACAGACAGGTGTGGAAAATGTGGTTATAGGAAATTGCTAGTGGAACCATCATAATTCAGGATTCAAGGAATATTTCACAGTGATTAGACTTGAGGCCTGAGATGTAGAGAAGTTGGTCAAAAGAGAATACTGGGAAGGAGGAGGTTGAGGCAGAGATAAGATCATAATGTGAGGACATCAAAATGTGCCTTAGAGATAGATCTCCAACTAGTGGAGCGGAGTAGCCTGCTGGGCCCCAGTGCTGCCTGACTTGTGCTGAGCTGCATCTCTCGTGGTCTGCTCCCAACCGAGCAATGAGTGCAGCAGGGACAGTGCATACCTGAGGGTCTTAGTCACTTTTTCATTGCTGAAACACAAGACTTGACACATGCAACTTAAAAGGCAAGGTCTACTTTGGTTCACTTTTAGTCCATAGTTGGCTGGCTCTAAGGCAGAACAGCATGGTGGAGGGATGTGGTAGACAGGAAGAAGATAGAGCAAGGGAGGAGCCTGAGAGGAAGATAAGCTTCTCTAAGGCCTGGCCTTAGAGACCCACCTCTTCCTAATAGCAAGTTAGCCATAAAGACACAAAATCTAATCTTCTCCCACAGGCCCTGTCTATGACCAGACCAGGTAAGGCTCTTTGGGGGGACATCTAGATATACAGTAAACCACCATAATGAGAGACACAGGACTCTTCTAATAACCAATTTTGATTTCATGATCATCCAAGCTCTCTTACATTTTATGACCATCCAAGATACTTCCACCTAACCTTCCTTTCCTGTTTGCTTTTCATACAGTCATACTTGCACAATAGACTATGCTTCAACCAAATTACCACTTTCATTTTTTCCCCCACATATGATTCCATGATTAAAATCCTTGCATGCTTAATCTCATTTTGGCTCTACTTCTTGGAAGACTTGGCCTAAGATACTTGTGCTAGTTTAAGTTTGAAGATTTTCACTTCATCCTAGACAAACTGACAATGCATAGATAGGTTTAATAAAGTATACAGACACAAAATAAAAATGTTGGAAGTGGATGGATTGCATAGGATCTGGACAAAATAGAGAAGAGATAGGAGATAGCAAATTTTTGTAAGTGTTTTGGGCTGGTAAACTTGGGGACCTCTTTTTTTCATGTTTGGAGAGTTTCTCATCTTATGAGACAGACAGAGCCAGCTTCCCTTCACAGGAAGGGAAATTGCCAGATTCATTTTGCAGCATCCTCTACAACTAAAGCAAGTCATATACCTGCCTACGGTGACCTAAACTCTGCAAGTCACAGACTACTGCCTTCCACAGACTCAGAACTAAAAAATATTGAGGCAAAGCAGTTGGGCATACCGAATCAGCATGGGCCTTGTTTGGCAGTAGAGGCAGCAGTTGCAGTAGCAGAGCCCAGGGTCTGGCACTCACTTCTTTTTTTCTTTCTGTTTTTTTGAGATAAGGTCTCCCTGTGCAGTTGAGGCTGGCCTTGAGCTCACTTTGTAGCCCAGGCTGGTCTTGAACTTGCAGCAATCCTCCTTCAGCCTCCCAAGATCTGGGATTACAGGCATGCACCACCATGACCAGCTTTATTTTGTTCTTTTAAATCTTTATTTCTTTTGTTGTTTTACATTTTGGCATTGTCCTTATTTATTTATCTTTTTCTGTATTTAGGACAGGGTCTACAGGGTCTACAGAGTCTCACTACGTAGATTGGACTCATAGTGATTCTCCTGTTTTCAGCCTTCCAAGCTCTGGGATTACAGGTGCACGCCACCACACCCAGTCTCAACTGCCATCTCAGCATGCTCTGGGAGTGGGGCAGGCATTGCATGTTGGGAATCGAACCCCGGCTGCTGCATCTGCCCAAGCAGGTGTTTTAATCCACTGAGCTATCAGGCCAGCCCAAGCATTGTCCTTCTTGATGGTGCGTGTGGTGGCTGCCCTCTCCAGAGCAGTAACTCTCACGTATTCACCAGGCCAGTTCTACATGATGAATTTGGAAGCCGATCCCACAGTAAAAGTTCCAGTCCTAGTTCTTTGGCCTTCCAGGAGATGTTGTAAGCTATCTCATATCTTTTCAATAGTTCATTTTCTGCTTAAATCAACAACAATCTGTTTCTGTTGGTTGTAATAAGGAAGCCTGCTTGATAATGATGAGAAGGACTCACAGCTACCAGCAGCCTATGTGGATGAGGATAGAAAGGGTAATAAGAGAGAATATGATATTATGTCAAAGTCTTTGAGCTCTGGAAACAAGGGACTTCCACTCATACTTAGCCCTTACTGTGGTCATGGTTTACAAAGGAAAGGATTTAATACAGGACACATCATTTATAAGATTATTTTATAGTACTCACCCAAAGAGTCAAATTCAAAAGAGTATAGGAGATCTATCTACACACTAGAGACCCAAAGAATCCAGCTGAGGGCATCAATCCCACAGCAATGTTCTGCATGAGTCCAGCTGAAGACCTAGAGCCCATGGCAGTGTCCTCCACAAGTCCAACCAGAGGCCCAAAGCCCACAACAGTGTCTCATGCGAGTCTGTATCAAGGCTGAAAGATCAGTGGTGGAAAGTAGACAGTCTGTGAAGGAGCTGTGCCAGCAGCTAGAGGGATCTTCACTAGAGCCCTGAAATAATGCTGAAGATGAGGACCAGAGCTTCTGCAAAGAGACGGCAGCCATCCTCAGTGACATTGAGGTCCCAAGCCTCTCTGATGATGAAAACAGTTGAGTTCATATCAGGAAAACTAGTGTGACAAGCTTCTCCAGGAAAATCAACAGCACACCATCTGCCCTTCCAGTTCTCTTTTTATGCTGTTGGCAGCAATCCTTAGGTGGTCCATCCATACCCTTCACCATGTTGATTCAGTTCAGTTGGGTGTTACAAGCTGACCACTAGTTAATCCACCATGTATATCTTAGTCAGCTTAGATAGCTGTAACAAAATTCCACAGACCACAGTAGCTAAAGCAACAAATGTTTATTTCTTATAATTCTGGAAGATGAGAGGACCAAGAATAAGTTGCTAGCAGATTCAATGGTTGGAGAGGAGCTTTTTCCTAATTTGTTGAGAGTCACATTCTTATAGCCTCTATAGCAGAGTAAATGAGCTCTTATCACTTCCTTTTCTTGTAAGGCATGAATCCTATCGTAATGACCCTACTCATATGATGTCCTTTAAACAATTCACCTCGAAAAGGCCTCACCCTCTAAATACTACTACCTTCAAATCTGGGGCTTCATACATAAACTTTGGGAGGGGGATACAAATAAGGCCACAGCAACCTATTAGCTGAGTGACCTTGAACAAGTCAATCTTTCTAAGTGCCAATTATCTCACCTTTAAAATATGGATAACAGGCTCTTTGCCGCTGCCATGAAAGGTTGCTTTCTGCTCTGTGCTGCTCTGCATTGGACCCAGCTGAGTATGGACTGAAACCTCCAGTAACTAGATGCGTATTTACATGAAGTTCACGCTTACGCAGTGCTTGGGCATCACCCCCATGTGATAGGCTACTACTCCTCCTGGTCAGAAGACAACTACCTGATCATTCAAACTGAATACTGCAATGGCGGAAGCTTGAAAAATGCCATATCTGAGAACATGGAGTCTGGTAATCATTTCTCAGAGCTGAAACTCAAGGACATCCTTCTGCAACTCGCCTTAGGGCTGAAGTACATCCACAAGTGTAACTTGGTACACATGGACCTCAAGCCTAGTAACATCTTCATTTACCATAACCTCATATGTGATTCTCCGGAGTCCCAGAAGAGAGTGAAAATGAAGCCGACTGGTTTCTCTTTGCCAGGGTCATTTATAAAATTGGTGACCTGAGCCTTGTGACATCAATAAAAAAACCAGAAGTGAAAGAAGGAGATATTCATTTCCTAGCTAATGAGATTTTCCGAGAGAATTATCAACACCTTCCCAAAGTTGACATATTTGCCCTAGGGTTAGTGATTGCAATGGCAGCAGGGGTGGAGACTCTACCCAGCTTCGGTGATCAGTGGGAATCCATCCATAAAGGTGTCTTCCCGGATGTTCCTCAGAAGCTCACAGAAGATTTTCACAACTTGCTCAAGAGTATGATCTACCCTGACCCTCAGAAAAGACCTTCTGCAGCAGATCTGGTCCATAGTCCAGTCCTCTGGCCCTCCCTGAAGACAGAAGAGGAGCTCCAGAGGCTTCTAGAGGTGGAGAAGTCTAAGACGGCTACACTGGAAAGGGAACTGAGAAAAGTCCAACAGGCCCTGTCCCTCCATGGAGGAGGCCACCATGGCAACCCTGAGAGCTCCGAGGGACAAACAGAACCAAGAAGCACCAAACACCTGGAGGGCTGAAAGAGCTGGAAGTCTTCAGGTTTCATCTGGGGCAATCTTCCCCATAAGAACTCACTGCACACCAGCCAAATTTATATTATAAGACCTGCAGAAAGATATTGATCATCCAGCCTTCTACAAAATGGAAAAACTGACCAACTTGAAAGCCCAAGATTTCAAAAGTCACCTTAACATAGCATATATAGCCAAGATCACAAAAGTACTAAAGCTTCTTACTAGCAATGGTCTCAGGTACAATAATTGATAGCCACTTTTCTTTCCGATCATTTGGTTCCTAATGCTGCGTACCAACAACTTAAATACTTTTTACATTTTCTAATGAATGAGAATATGTGGGTCTCTGAACTGAAAGAAGAAAAAGCAACCTTTGACTTGGTCTATGGACTAAAATTGCTGTTGCCAATTTCTCACCAAAGATCTCGGGAAGAAATAAAATTTGGCTTGAGTTAAAGAAAGAACCTACAAGATAATGTGCATGGATCTGGATAATGCTTCCTGTGCTTTATGATGCTTTTCCTAGAAGAGAATTCCAGCCCCTCTGAGAAAGTTTTCTTAGTGTATTTTATGCATGGAGGCAACCTCTCTGATACTGTATTTATGGAATGAATGGCTCCACCATTATGTGAGGTGGGTAGAAATAAGACCACAAATATCATGGGTACAACTGAGCTGGTTGTTAACTTGTAATTAACTTGTAAAATAAAAACATTGGAAGTAGAGGGCTCCAGGGACAGTTGATGTGGCTGCTCTGACTCAGTTTGGCTTAACCCTGTCATGGCCTTTGAATGGCTTTGACTTTGGACAGCACTACTTTCTCTCAATTTTAGCAGAATCTGGCTTCATTTCCTGTGATTTTTAAAGCAT